AAATAAATTTAAATAAAAACCTGATTTTTGAAATTTAAAACATCAAACCTTAATTTTGAAATGTGTATAAGTAAAAGCAGGATTTATGTATACTTCCCTAATTATAATTGGTAACTACTTTGTGCTTTTACTCTAATGGATCGCTGCGTAGAATGCTCTAGCCCTAAGTAAAATTAAGAGGTTCTAAGTTATTCTCAACATAACATGTTACACACAATGCTAAGGGCATGTCTGAACTCCATTTCTTCTGTAAAATGCATTTTTGAATAGTAGATTAATGGAGAATGTGTGACTAAAAATAAATGATTTTTTTTAAATTGTGGGTAATATTATTTTATTGAAAAATATGTGGTTGAAAAGAAGAGAAATAAAAATATATTTAAAAAATAGAATCAAACAAGATCTAAATTTTTAAATGCACCTTCAGATTGACTTCTTTAAAGACTTTTCTACCCTTGTCATTTACACAATAGTTTAAAATTATTTTTTAACCTTTATAATTCAACGACGGATGAAATGATAATTAGATAAAAGGTCATAAATGAACCGATTGGATGACTCTTGCAATCTTTGTCAGGAATTGTCCTTCAAAACAATATTAGTTGCATGTGAACCTCAAATCAACAGCCAAAAAAACGATTTTTCTTTTTGTCGAAAATTGCTACCAGACGGGCGAATATGATTATCAATCAACATTGATAGAAATGTGCTGCACGTATAGAAATAAAAACACCAGAAATGCAACAAAACATTCACACAAGGGTGGGGCCTGCACATTTTTTTTCTTTTTTAAATACACGATGGGACTTCCTGCTGTCTCTACCGAGGTGTGACCCTAAGTTGTTACACACTTACTGCAACTATTGGGTCTGGAAAATAATAATGGAGGTTCCCAACCTTTGACGAGTGTTTCACTTTGATTCTCAAATTCAGTAGCTGGGCCTACCCCACGTGATCCTAACTCTTCAACTTCAATCGTCATTATGAAGAACTCCCATTTGTGACTTATTCGAGTCGATATATCATGCTAAAAATCAATCTTATAAATCCAAGTAATTACAAAAATAGAAATAAAAAATTGAACGTACTAATTAATAAAAATGAACATTGTCATTTAATTGTTGAATAAAATCTAAGTTCAAACTTTCTTGATCACAAAGCCTTGATCCAAGATTTTTGGGAGGTTTCAAAATGACATCTCGAGTGTGCACATGAATGTGAATTGCTCCCCATGCATGCTACAACTTCAACAATACTATACAATCATAATATCATTACTCCTCCCTTGAAATCTTGATGGCCAATTATTCAATCACTTGAGAAAGTAAAGTAAATCATCAAAATATGAGATCACACTACTCAACTCAAATAAACAGGTCAGAAGGGCTTAGATGATTTTTTGATGTGACGAGTAAGATTTATACCGCAAAGTAAATTATTCACCCAAAATTCGTGTCACATCCACGTACTTATATATGATCACATTTTTAAGAAAACTATCCAAAAATAATCACTATCCACTCAAGAAAAAAGAACTCTCAATATACTATCCCCTAAGAATATGTCTTTTTTTTCTACCAAAAGCATCGATGAGATCAGTAAATATTAACAATGCATTGCTTGCGAAGTATGTGTCCGTATATGTCCTATACCAATCATCATTTATTGAGTAGCCTTGACTATTCTAGAATGATTACTGATTTGATAGCTCGAGAAAGACCAACCACAATTTTAATTTCTGACATTTCGTGTGCAGCTTAGGTGGAAGGTGAGAAAGACCTCCTTTCGGAGAGGCTCGAGTCATTGGTGAGATACCATTCTAGAAGATTTAGGATTTTAACCTTATGTTGGAACCTAAGGGCTAAGGGGCTGTTGATCACTGATACAGGAAGGCAATTTTCTTGCTTTTTTTCCCCCTTTTTGTGCCGCTCATGATTTAAACAAGTCGCACATACACCCCAGTACATGTTCAATAATTTAAGCAAATCCAAGAGGTATGACAAAAAACAAAATTTTATGCATTGCATATAACATCTATAATGAACCCATTTAAAACTGTAGAATGGCTAGGCAAATCATTTAAAAAGAACCAACATTTGTCTTGATCAAATACAGACTTAACTTATTACTCAAATAAAAACAGGAAAATAAAATTACCATATGCTGGTGGTTCAATCTCAACCCCGAAAATTTGTCCTTTTCCATCACGCTCCCAAGTAATTAATTTTAGATTGATACTTGGAATAGGTTCATCCTCGAATTTTAGCTTGTTCAGATTTCTCCCCCTAGTCTCGTCATCTCTTAGGGAGTTGATGGTCCCCCTAGTCTCCAGGGGAGTTCTATTGCGTAAACCGGTTTGCAGATGACCTCATGCTTCTTGCTAGAGGAGACACTGGTTCAGTCAGAATATTGATGGACTGCCTTAGTCAGTTTGGAGATGTTTCAGGACTGAAAATGAACAATCTGAAATCCAGCCTGTTTACGGCAGGAGTACACGGCATGGAACTAGATGAAATCCAGGAGATCACTAACATCCCCAAAGGCACGATGCCTTTCAGATACTTGGGTGTCCCCCTTGCATCACAGAGATTAAAAGTAAGCTGTTATGCCCCTTTTATGGATAAAATTGCTGCATATATCAATGTTTGGACTCAATCTTCACTATCATATGCTGGTATAACTGAATTAATCAGGGCGGTTCTACAAGGAGTAGAGTGTTTTTGGCTTTCCCTGTTGCCTATTCCAGCCACTGTTATCTCTAGAATCAACAGCCTCTGTCGGAACTTCCTGTGGGGATCTAGGAAGTCACCGATTGCCTGGAAAAACGTTTGCTTGCCTAAAGATGAAGGTGGACTGGGTTTTAGGGATTTGAAGAGTTGGAACTCAGCACTCCTGACTAAGGATTTATGGAATATTCATCACAAAAAAGATACTCTCTGGATCAGATGGATAGACCAAGTTTATATCAGAGGAGGTAACATCTGGGACATCCCGCTGCATAAGGATCAATCACCGCTATTCAAAAAGCTGTTGGAAATCAGAAACGTTGTCCAGCAACATTCAGGGCACTCACTGGAGCCAAGAGATCTGGGTTTCGGCCAGATTATGGGGTTTATAGGGGACGACTTCTGTGTGGCTAAAGCTTATGAGTTCTTCCGCCCGAAAGCTGCCTATAGATGCTGGACAAAACAGGTATGGAAGAATTACATTACGCTTAAGCATTCTTTTGTGCTTTGGATGGGAGCCCAATCAAAGCTCCTCACGAAAGATAGGCTACACTTTCTTGACATTAATAGAAATTGTAGTTTTTGTGCATCCTGTGATGAGACATGCCAACATCTATTCTTCAATTGCTCATTTACTTCGAAAATCTGGAAGTGCATCAAAGAATGGCTGGGTATTACTAAAGCCATGACCACTATGGCTAGTGCACTAAAATGGATGAAAAAGGAAGCTAGAGGTACATCTTGGAGAAACAAAGCAAAAAGGATTGGCTTCGCTAGTACTGTTTACTATATTTGGTTGACAGGAAACAGTTTGGTTTTTGAAAATCTTACCCCGCATATTGATAGCATTGTACAACGAATCAAAACAAATGTATACAAAGTTATGTTCACTTTGTATCCAAATGTTTTGGTTTGTTACGAAACATTTATTATGGGTTGATTACTACTGTTTGTATTTAGGGTAAACTGATGGAGTCTGTAATACCCCTCTCTGGGTAGTTATTGTTACCTTGTTGTTACTTTGTTGATTTGCCCGGGAGCACCCGGTGTACGTGTACTCAGGTTTGATCTATATAATTATTTATTTACTGATCAAAAAAAAAAACATGAGACTCATCCTTAAAAGATAAACCCAATTAAAAGAGCAGCCCAATCCCTTACTACTTATAATTTATTTGTTTGAGACAATATTAGAAACAACTCATTACTTTTTGATATTGTTGGAGATACTTCTCTCGTTTCAAAAATAAAAAGTCTCCCTTATTTCTAGATTTTAGCCCTTGTCCGGCTACAATTTTGTGAAGATTTTAATCAACATGTTCGAACGTTGGGAAGGGTATATTGATATTAATTTGTAAAGGGAACAAATTAATTGTAGAAAAAAGGATTTTTTTTTTTAATTTATAAGGGTATTTTAGGTATATCAACCTCATTTTAAATGATATATAACTCAAAAAGTGATTAAGAGTGTATGTGATACTTAAATTAAAAACAGAGAGGTCAATGATATTTTTGAAAAGTGAGACAACATCTCTAAGTATTTTATCTCTAATCAATGTATGATATTACCATTAACATACTTTGTAAAATGGTAGCTTTAGACGGATCAAATTATTCATTCGATCTATATTTGAACTTGAGTTCCATCGTAAAAGACCACCTTGTTAAGAATAGGTTTAGTTGTTTTATCTTTAATTGGCACGCAATATTACTCTTAAAAACCCTCCAGTCTGTTATATACACGTTAAGTCTATTAAATTTAGGTTACTGCAATCCTTAACTTATTTGGTACTTATGTATAATATTAGAAACATTTCAAGTAATGTTTGTTTTATCGAGAACCTATTTAAAGAATTGAATGAGTCCGTTACGACTATTCCAACCATGTTCAATCCATCAATATAAGGTCACTCCATTAAAGGCCAAGCTCGCCCTCTTAAAATAACAAAAATAATTGCACAAGTTTAATTATTATATGATTAATTTTAATCAAATATTTTATTTAATCAGTAATTTATATTAAAATTTAATAAAAAATTGTTTTTAACAAAAACAAACTGTACACCGACCATCACATTTTTTCTCATAGACTGATTAATTTCCCGTTGTCTAAATGCACGTTTCTGCCAGCAGAAACTAGAGAAAAGAACAAATTAACTTCAGATCAGTCACTGTATCCTCCGAATCCAACTATTTCTTTCTCAGATAGTCAAAATCCAGTGCTCATTTTCGTTCCGATCGAGATTTGTATTTGTGAGGTTCTCAATTTAGTCAATGGCGGTGAAGGGGAGGCAGTACGGGAGAGGTCCGCCGCGTAAAGGGTCGTCATCTATGATGATTTTCTCGATCCTCTTGATATTCTCTTTCCTCGTTATAATCCTTTTGGCTCTTGGAATTTTGTCAATTCCAAGCAGTTCGAAGGGCTCTTTAAGAGCTCATGATCTCAGCTCCATCGCCCGCAATACCGTCACCAAGTAAGGTTTCGCTCGAGCTGAAATATGCGGTTCATTTGCTTATTGGCATTGAATTGCACCGATGTTTTTGTATAATTGTGATCTGAATTTGTTTTACTTGGTGCAGAGGTGATGAAAATGTGGAGAGGAAAGATCATTGGGTTGAGTTGATCTCTTGGGAACCCAGGGCTTCCGTTTTGCACAATTTTTTGGTAATTAATTCTTATTCATACGCAGACAGCAGTCAGACATACATATATACAGATACAGTCGTATGGGAAAACTTCATTTTTTCACGCTTTATCACATAATGAATTGTATTCATCTTTATACATGTTAGATGCGCCATTTTCTACATGGTACATTTCGGCCACTTGGAACTGGGACCTCAAAGTTAGGGTTCTTGCCTTCTTGGAACATTGAGCCCCGTTTGACAAAGCTTTTTCAGAATATAAGCTGGTGGGTTACATGAAATATGTGGTTAAAAAAGTGGTTCCAATGAAATGTGTGGTTAAAAATGATGTTTGACAAGCTTATAATCTAAAAAAAACTGTCAAAGAGGGACTAGCTCCAATTTGAACGGAAATTTCTAGTTCCAATTGTGAGTCCCCACATCCTTAGATATTTGGCATACACCATAAAAAGGCTGGAGAAGGAAGTCACCTAAAAGCATCTAGTGGCCTAAATTCATTAGATGCACACTGCTAGACATTAGCTTTACAATGGAATAGATAATGATAGAATCATACCTGTCGATTTGAACACAGCAACATATCATGCAAGTGTTAATGCCGCGAAAATATTGCCTGAATTTACAGTTCAGGAAACCTCTCTTAGCTGTGCATTGTTCAAAATTTAAATCTACCCAGGTTTGATGAAACCTTTCTGTCGTAGTTGGTTTGACATAAATTTTGTTCCAACGAAAAAAATAAAGGACTAGAGTGATTATCAATCTTAAATGCATGTAACACACACGGAGGGAGAGAGTGAACAAATGGAAAAAAGTTTCTATGCACCGGTTGATGAACAGTGCATTTCACTGAAATTAAACTTTGTGATGGGTAATCATATACCAGAGTTAATGCATCGTGATTTAGTTTTTGGAGGTAGTTCAAAACTTAGGGACATAATGGTTGAAGGGCACTGGCACACTGTTCCCTCTGCTGCTGGGCGATGATGTAGTGTTCCTTACTAGCAGAAACTGAAATAGAGTATCAAGACACTAGAGAAATTGACTTGACACGGATACTACCATGCTCTTGATTTCTAGATGATTGCATCTAAAAAATGAAGTCTGTCGTATGCAGTTGCAAGTTAATCATGAAAAGTTGCTGGGACTTTTTTCTTAATCTTTTCTGTTCATAAATATCTCATTGATCTGCTGATAAATGCCTCAACTAAATGCATGAACTACTTGATTATTTTTTCGATTTTTTTTAACAGTCCAAAGAGGAATGTGAGTATATGATAAATCTTGCTAAGCCTCATATGCAAAAGTCAACAGTTGTTGATAACAACACTGGGAAAAGTAAAGATAGTAGGTATGCTATTTCTTAAGTTTTTCAAGTCCTGGTATTTAAGATGCATCCGAGAAGATGAAAGTACATTTTTTCTTGCAGAGTCCGTACGAGTTCTGGTACATTTCTTCCTAGAGGACGTGATAAAATTGTTAGGGATATTGAGAGAAGGATTGCAGATTTCACCTTCATTCCTGTAGGTATGCAGTTCAATGGCTACTTGTAATGATTCTTGTGTGCAAATTCATCTATCATTTTTCTATGATCACAATCATACTGTAAACCAAGAGTACCAATATTTAGAACCTAGGTTGAGGCCAGGACTTGGTATACCAAATTATGCTTGGTTTGGGTATAAAGTTTGTCTGGCATTTCTATTTTCAGCTGAGTTCTTCCAGTTTGTCAATGATAGTAGTTCGTCGTATGGTTGGGTTGGACAAGTAAAGAAATATGCTTTACCACCTATATGGTTGAACTTTGTCTGGAAGGGGTAAACCATAATCCAAGGAAAAGAGCTAGGATTACAGAATGGGAACTTGTATTGATATGAGTTGCATTAATCTCTTTCAAGAGTGCAGTTATTTAGTTGGATGTAATGCCACCCTTAGCTATCAGCATATCTATTTTCCAAATCTAGTAACCTTTTGTTTTTTAATATTACTCCAATTTCCTCTTGTTATTGCAATTTGTTGGGCCATTTTCTCCACAGTGAAGACCTCATATTCCTCGGAATCATAGATGCGTCTGCCTTATTGAAGCTGACTTTTCTTGCCAATAGACTTTGTTTATTTTAATGTTTTGATTTCTTAGGAAGTATCCTTTTAGGTGATGCTAAACTTTTTTTTATTTTTTCTTGTCCGGTTTTTGTTGGTATATGTTATTTTGTGCATTTTGTTCACATATTGGCTTTATCTCGAATTATTTTGCGTTCAACAGAGCATGGGGAAGGCCTTCAAGTGCTCCATTATGAAGTAGGCCAGAAGTATGAGCCTCATTATGACTATTTTCTGGACGAGTTTAGCACTAAGAATGGTGGTCAACGAATTGCTACAGTTCTTATGTACCTGTAAGTGATTTTCTCTAATTCAATACTCAGTGTAATTTCCATAGGTTCTGATGATGTCGTTTGTGGCACACTGTATTACAGGTCAGATGTTGAAGAAGGGGGTGAAACATTATTCCCTGCTGCCAAAGGAAACTATAGTTCTGTGCCTTGGTGGAATGAGCTATCTGAATGTGGTAAAGGGGGACTTTCTGTTAAACCAAAGATGGGCGATGCATTACTTTTCTGGAGCATGAATCCTGATGCAACTTTGGATCCTTCAAGCTTGCATGGTCAGTTGTGCTTATGACTGGTGGTTTGTACTGTAGTGCTGATACTTAAGATGTAACTTTCAGATATCTCTTGAAGTTCTTGTCTTCTCGGACATAGCAACATCATATTAGCATTATGTTTATAATCTAGTTGCTAGATTTATTTTCCTATGTCTATAAATCATTTAACATTTTAAATGTGGAATCAACATACTTCGCTTCTTGCAGGTGGCTGCCATGTTATCAAAGGGAACAAATGGTCATCTACAAAGTGGATTCGTGTCCATGAATACAAGGTGTAATTTACTATAACAGAGGTAAACTTCGATACCCAGGTGTAATTCACTATGCTCAAACCCTAGCGGTCTGTTATTTCTGCTAATTTATTATTGCTTCACAACCTATGCCTATATTTGCCTATCTCTCTTTACGGTATTATATGATCTATACCAGCTTCAGCAACATAATTACCTAAGATGTTCAATGAAGCATTTTGTAAATATCTTTGCTTACTTTTTAACTAAGACTTCGTTGCATAAGTATTGTATTCATATGTGATAAAATTGACAGAAGTCCACTGTCAGTTGGTTACACTTGGTCTTTTACTTGCCAAGGACATTGATCCGACCAAGAGCTTGCTAGTATGACTAATAAAATTGGATCTTCTTGTATCCAGTATACCATATAATTAGTTTAGCGAACCATATCTCGCCCTATTAGATCTTGAAGAACTCTGTTAAGCAGATGCCGACGGCAGCGAACCTGTGTCAGCCTTGTTTTCCTACTGGTCATGTTGCATTGTATTTTATTTCAGTATGAGGAATACATTCAACTAATCCAGTGTCATTCCGTTACTCTTTGACGGGTCTAGCTAGTGGCTTCTGAGTGTCTCTGCTGATATCTGTCTCTGATTTTAGTGATTAATACAAATAAATTTTTGCTCAAATATCATTTTGTTGGCCACTAAACTAAAACTCAGTGCAAACTCTTATAATCATTAATTGGAGCCTATCAATCCCTATAGAAAAGGAGATTCAATCTTACTGTCCCCATGGTGAACCCTTTCGAAGAAAAGAACACTGAGATGCATTCAAGTTCAAGATCTGTGCCTCTCCACTGTGTTTCAATCGCATGGTAGTTTTTGTGTTAGTGATCAAATTCCACCATCATAGAACCATCCACAGAAGCCACAACAGTATCAGCATTAGTCATGAAATTTGGGCCAAAACTCATTCTACATGACTAGTCTCCTAAGCCACAGCATTGACTTGGATAACCATAAATATGATGTCTAACCCAGAGTGGAGATGCATATTAAGAATTGAGATGTACAATGTTATGTGTCTTCTGCCAACAGATCTTCAGTTGGTGAATCTGGTGAAGAGTTAATACAGTGTTTTCATATAATTAAGTTCACTACTTATTTTGGATAAGAAAAATGTAATAACATTACCATTATGAATATTGGAATGGTGCCCTAGTAAGTTGAAAAGACTTACATATTGGTATTTGAAATGATTCCGAAATTTGAGCGAATCAGATTCTTTGGTTTTCCATGCCATACTTGTGTCACACGCGAGAAGGCAAATGGTGTGCTGCATCTTGTTTAGTTGACATAGACGAAAGTGTAAAAGATGAGAATGTGCTTCTACTGTTGTCAAAGCACAATTTTTTGGGAGAGAAACTAAAGAAAACCTTTTTTAAGACTGGGACAAAGGACAAAACCTCTCAAGACACTTCTGCAACAACATCCCTCAGAAGTTCATGAAGAGGACTAAGACCAATTTCAGAAAATTGATAAAAGTGTTTTTACTTTATGTCAAAACATCTATTTGCAGGAATCTATAAAAATGTAAAACACTAACTTATTAATGAAATAAATCTTACTAAAGAGGAAACAAAATATTGATGCCTAAGGTAACTAGAAAACCTAATATTTAATGATCCTAATAATCGACTAAGATGAATAGTAACCACGTCCACATGCTAAAGTAACTTTCTTGCTCCAATATTGGTCTGTCCTTTTGCATCACTGATGCTTTGTAAACAGACATGACCATAGAGTACATGGCACAAATCAAAACCATACTATCGACTATTGTTTAGCAGCAACAAACTAACAAGAATGTGCCTTCTCTTCTCATTTATTAGTGGTTAAATATGCATTCTCGAAAATGTATTACAAACATGTTGAGTATTCATACATAGCCTTACTGATTATAAGTCTGTGTCAACGTATGCATTTCTAAAATCAAGACCCCTTTTGACCAGATCTAGGTCTCAAAATTGGCAACTCACAGTCCCACACTTGGATACCCATGCTTTGTGCAATTTTCCTAGCCCAAGCAATGTGGATGGAATTTGGTATAGTCTAATGAAAAGAAAATTTTCTTTTGGGGCAATGAGGAGTAAACTAAGAATCAATTTAATGAGAGACATTGGGGTGTCTATTCTTGAATACAAGGCCTTCTTTCCCATCCATAAGTTGTATGACATATTGCTGCTATGTCATTGACATGAGCCGGGTATGTCTATTCTCTCAGCTTCTACATATACTTGAGTTCGTCATCATATACATGTTATTTTTTTGAATGATAATACTTATCTTGAAACTCATCTATCTATCAAATATAATGTGTGTGGTGGGTGTGGGTGCCGGGGGCTTGTGTGTGGCTTTCTTTGTTGGGTTAGCAATCTTGAAGGAGTTAGAGTATGTTTGATACAGAGAGTACTGAATATGACTCGAAAATATTATAGACTAGACATTAACTTATTTTCTTTTCCAGTGCTGTCTATAGATTAATGTTCAATGCACCTACCAAAGGAGGTAGTGGAATAAAACAATTATGATTGCAATGCACTGCTCCACTGCACTTACTTGAATGCTTTCTAGCAAATTAGATGGAGACGTGCGCACTGAATTTATAGTGTTTCAATCAGTCTGATTGATAGAAATAGATTGTTTCTGGATGATATTGAGACTGTTTACATAAAATGTGTCCATCGTTTTGATGATATGTTTTTGACAGGATCAAGAATCGGTTCAGATGCAATGACTGTTGTACGGTTTTATACAATGGTGACTAGGATTTCAGCAGCACTTTCATCTGCTTCAGCAGATCAAGTTAAATGGTGCAATTTTATCAACAATCATGTACATGTATCTCAGTTTACTGCTTTTTATTGACATCTCCCATCTCTAGAAATTATTGTATTGACTAAATATGATGGGAATTTTCCATATAAATTTACCAATTAGAATTTATGTGGTGAGTTAAAAGTGAAAACAGAGACGGGGTTGTGTTTTTATACATAATTTTGTGCCAAGAGTGTCCATTTTGTTATTAAAGCGTAATATTCTGTTATTTACCATGTTCTAAAATGCGCGCAAATGCGCCGCCTAGGCGCGACGCGAGGAGAAAACGCGTCGAATTCGGGGTATGCGCGGAAAATGCGTTTTTGTTCTAAAAGGCGTCGCAATCGCGCCTAATCCCGCCTAGGCACGCCTCATCTCGCTGCGCCGCCTAATTTTTTTTTTTTTTTGGGTAAAAAATCTATTTTTTTTAATATAAAAATATATTTAATGCCTTAAAAATACGAAACGCATTATTCTTCGCATTGACACGCCTAAACTTGTGATTCTTGATTCTCGGTCTCGACGTATTGCACGCATTACGCATTTTAGAACATTTGTTATTTATATGATTTTATATAAGTAGGGTCTAGTTTATAGTATTGATAGTTGAGGGATTAGGGATGCACTTTTATTCAGGGTACGTGTTATTATCTATAAAGATGTCAGCCGCAATTATATTGTTTTTTTTTTTTTTTTTAAAAAAGTGAAATAATTGGGAGAGAGTTATTCAATTTTCNGATAAAAAAGTGAAATAATTGGGAGAGAGTTATTCAATTTTCGATCTAAATCGGAACTATGTGGAATCAACACTTTGTTGATTTTGTTTTTTCGATTCTTTTACGCTTCCGTCTGCATTAAATTGACCAAAGAATTGCGCATACAATATTAGAGAATGTTAATTAAATTCTGTCAAATATAAATAGTTGTGATTGCTAAACAATCACAATTATTTTAGACGTTTGATAAATTAGAAAGGATAAATAGATATTTCTCACAAATTTTGTTAGCTCTAGAGGTGGGCAAAAATCACCTATATTGTCTGATATAGGATGGTATTAACACTTTTCCTCGAAGACCGCTACTCAATGCACCCCCCCATGGTGAC